GCAGCCGCCCTTCCCAGGCCCCCCCCTTGTCCCTGCAGCCAGTTTAACTGCCCAGAGGGACCTTTGTCAGAGAAAAGGGGACGAAAAGTTTGGAAACAGAGGAGAAAACCAGTAGGAAAAGGTGTTGCACCAGCACCGGACCCTCCAGAACTTTGAACATGGCAGCTCCAACGACAGCTCCGTAATCCCACCCACGTGAGGACGGCTGGAGGCTGGAGGACTACAGCTGGGAGACGCTAACGCAGCGCAGGGCCTGCGCGGAGCCCCGTCACTTCTCGCTCCGACGGCGGGAGGCTCCTCTCGGCCCCGTGGCCTTCAACACCGCCCTTGGCCTCCCCCATCCTGTCCTGCGTGCCCGGAGCCGCTGTGCCTACCTCGCAGAGCGACGGAGGAGGAGTGGGCCACGACTTGTTCAAAACCGTCCGGGGTAGATTCCGCCTGAGGTTCATCAGGAAGGCGAAGCGGATGTAGTCAAAGAAATACTCGTTCTCTGGGCAGCGAGGGTGGTTCCGGTAAATAAAACCTTTAATGAACCTGAGGAGGAAGATTTTATGAGAGAAGTGATGAAAATGAGGGTGGTTTAGAGGTTTCTTCCAATCCAAGCACCTTCTGAGCTCTCTGGAATGGCTGAAATTGAATTTTAAAAGAAGCTGATACTGTAGGGACAAGTTGATGCTTATCCCAAGATTTGGGCGCAGACAGCTCCCACCTGCCGGCTCGGGTTGTTTTTACCCACCTTCTGATGGTCTGTACCGCCCACTTCTTCTTGGCAGCTTTTCGGCGCCCCAGCGTTCCCCGCCACCAGGACTGGATGGCTATGGCTGAAGAGGAAACAGGGATTTGGCACTGTGAGCTCCGTCGCACCCAAAGGAGCACCCAAGGGGGCTCCGGAAGGCCGGTCGGAAAGGAAAGAGCCCTCGGCGTGGCTCGAGGGAAAGGCCAGAGCGAAGCTTTTAGGGACACGGTAACCGTCACGGCAAAGCCCTGGCAGGGGCGAGCGGCTGCGTGAGCCGAGCCTCGTCTGCAAGGATGGGCTCCCACACTGCCATCTTCCACCCTGCTCCCAGCAAAGCTTTGGGAAGGTCCCGCCCGCGCATCGGGCCCGAGTCACGTCTGACCGCGGCCACTTCCAGCCCTGCCGCGACACCGCAGCGTCGCTCCCGTACCTGAGCGCTTCATGCCCAGGAATTTCTTCCGATGGTAGAAGCCTCTCCACGTGGCCTGCATCTTTGTGGCTGAAATTGCAAGAAAAGCAGAAATTTGAAATTGTGACCGAGCAGATTTGGGTAGAAAAAGGCTCAAACTTTTGAAACAAAACCCCCTCCCCTAAACAAACAGGAAAACTGAGAGTCCGAAACGGGTCACCTTCAGCCACGAAGCTGCCGCAGCGTGACTCACCCAGGCTCTGCTTCCGCACTTCCAGAGCATCTTCCGTTGCGAACAAGGTCTTGGGAAAGCGGATAAAAATCTTTGTTCTAGAAATAGAAACGCAGAATTATGTTTGACGGGCCGGAGCGGTTTGCTTCCTGCCCTCCGCATCCCCTCGGGGATCTCTTTATCTTTCCCTCACCCGCCCGGCAGCGGAGAAGCCCTGACAGGGGCGTCCAATGATTCATCATCTCAAATTAAGAAAGAGAACTAACCGTCCCATTTTGTATTCTTCCGGTTTGTAGCCCAAAAAAAGCCACCCCATGGCCGGCCGTCCCACGTCGGCCACGTTTCTGGACAGAGCGATTTGTACCTGTCAAGTGACAGCAGAGGGAGTGAGGGAGGGGAGCCCGATCCCCACGGGGCCGTGGGCAGGGAGGGGAGCCCGATCCCCGTGGGGCCGTGGGGAGCCCGACCCCGCGGGGCCGTGGGCAGGGAGGGGGAGCCCGATCCCCGCTCCCTCAAGAAATAAGCCCATTTGGCATCAGGGCTGCTCAGAAGAGCCCCCCCAGCTGCAACACCTGTAGGACCCAGATGCGGGGAGGGAGAAGCCGGGGGGGATGTCCCAGGTGATCCTACCTCTGCAGGAAAACCTCGTATTTTCTTCGATAGGCAAACCCAGCCCTGCGCACCCTGAGGTTCTCCATCAACCCCAGGTACTTCACTTGGTGGCGGATCTGGACTTCATTGAACTGATCTTGGGAGAGGATGGACACGGAGAAGGGAGGTTAACGCCCAGCTGTCCCTCACCCGGAGAGGGGAACCTTCAGTTCTGGGTCGTATCCCGCCGTTATCTCTAGCCCATCCCCACGGTGCAGATCAACACACCCTACTTTGTGCCTCCTGTCTCCCCCCGCCTTAACACACACTGATACCTGGGCCCAAAAAGCTCTCCCTCAGGATGCTCCGTGCAGACAGAGGGAAACGAGGGAAAACAAGGGACATTAGATTACATAGGTTGGTGATTCTTGGGTAACCCTGCTCCACCCAAGGCCAGTGCTCCCAGCCCGATTCCTGGCTGCTGGTCCTGCCACCAACCCCCCCCAAGCAGCTTTGGCACAGACCCAAAAGGGAAAGGAAATCTCAGGGGGACTCGGTGGTTACGTCTCCCTTCTGTGCCTCGCCGAGCGGCACCCAGGGGCCTACACGCGGCTGGTGGGGAAGAGTCCCAGGGTCCTACCAGCCTGTTTAGTGTCGTTGGGTTTTATGCAGCGGATGTAGGAGGGCTCTTTGGACATCAGGATTTCCATCAGCTTGGAGAGGCTGTTCTTAAACTGAGTTGCTGCCTAAGAAAAAAGGAAGAAAGCTGTGTGAGGTGATGACTTCAGCTGGTACCCAGGGCTGCAGAACCACCCCCCCGTCTCCCGGCCCGCAGTCGGGCTGCCACGCTGGCCAGGACGCGCCTGTGAAGAGGGGGAACAATCCCGCTTCCGTCCAGCCCTTGTCTCCCTACCGTTTCCGGTCGCTTCTTGTCTGTCAGCTCCGTCCTGTCAAAACACTGGTTGATGATGGGGTTCTCGGAGTTGCACATGGTCTGCGGAGAGAGATGCTGTCAGAGAGCAAGTACAGAGCATTCCACAGAGAACCACCCCGGAAACGCGGGACGAGGCTGTTTCTTTGGGGTTTTGGGTTTCTATTGATAATATCTATGTATCTCAATAGATTGTGTACGGATGATGTATTGTAACGCAAATCTATTTATACTGATATTTTAGATCAACTTTGGGCACCTCAGTTTGTCTCTCCACAGCACAGTCCTGTGGTCACACACTCCAGGTGGGGGTCTAGAACAACCTCCTCCCCCACCTGCCGCCCCACTCCCAACCTGCCTCCTCGCTCTGCTGAGGAAACGCCCCCCATCCCAACTCACCTCCTTCAGGTTGCGAAAGAGAAGGTCGTTGTTTTTATCCAGAAAACCTGGAAGAAGAAGAAACCGCTCAGCCTGGCAGCGCCGCTCCACGGGAACTTCCCGACACGCAGGAACCGGGGCCGGGAAACCGCTCCGGTGACGCGCGGGCATACTCTGCGCCCGGGTTTGTCTTCACAGGGACGCTGGTTTAATGCAAAGGGCAGGGGACGGGAGGGAGGAGAGCGGCGAGGACGCACACACCTGCGACGCTGTAGATGACGCCCCCCGCGTAGTGGTGCAGCTGAAACTCCTCCCGCCCCAGGGACTTGCGAGTCTTCTGGTCAGCGAGTTTGTGCCTGGGGAGGAAGCGCAGAAGCTTCGTGAGAAACAAAGGTGTTTCACGGGGGGTTCTTGTCAGGAAACACGCCGGCCCTCGATCCCAGGGTGGGACCACGTGAGCACAGAAGGGACTGAATCTGACCTGCTGATCTTTCAGACCAAAGGTAAATAGAGTTACCGACCAGCAAAACAAAAATGCCATAAAACGGATGAAGTTTGTGGTTCCTGG